AGGGGCCCGGAGCTGCCGCAGGCGGTCGGGTCGCTGGCCTCCGTCGCCGGGGAGGCCTTCTTCCTGCCGCTCTACGACCTCTTCCTCACCTACGGCGGCGTCTTCCGCCTCAACTTCGGGCCCAAGGTGAGCGAGCCATCCATCGAATTGCCCACAAAATTTCAGTCTTCTGAACCCTGCCATGTTGCTAATGCTCCGCACCTTCTTTTTCATCTGCTTCCTCCAGTCTTTCCTCATCGTCTCTGATCCGGATGTAGCTAAGCATATCCTGAGGGACAACTCCAAGGCTTATTCCAAGGTTTGGTTCTGAATTTGGTCGTACTCATTTTCAAACAGTACAGAAATGTTTCAAAAGGCTTCAGAAATGAGTAGCATGATGTTTGATTCAGTCCTGGTTTGATAATGGTGGGTGCAGGGTATCCTTGCGGAGATACTGGAGTTTGTGATGGGCACAGGTCTGATCCCGGCTGATGGGGAGATCTGGCGTGTTCGACGGCGTGCCATTGTACCAGCATTACATCAGAAGGTTCTAGCTCTCTACTCACTATCAAGGTTCTGTGGGTATTGCTTTCTTTATAGTGTAACTTTACTCACCTGAATTATGCATGGCAGTATGTTACAGCAATGATAGGTCTCTTCGGAAATGCTTCAGACCGGCTTTGCCAGAAGCTGGACAAGGCGGCATCCGACGGGGAGGATGTGGAGATGGAATCTCTCTTCTCTCGACTAACACTGGATGTCATCGGGAAGGCAGTGTTCAATTATGATTTTGATTCATTATCTTACGATAATGGAATAGTTGAGGTTATTGCTCAGATTTTGTCGTATTCCTGAGTACATTATGAAATTTAATTTGCTTATGTTTTCTGTCAACTTTACTTATTCGGTTTGCTGGTTCATCATCAGGCTGTGTATGTAACATTACGGGAAGCGGAAATGCGGAGTACATCTCCTATTCCAACTTGGGAAATACCCATATGGAAAGACATCTCCCCTCGGCAGAGGAAGGTCAATGAAGCTCTCGCACTGATAAATAATATTCTTGATGAACTAATTGCTACTTGCAAGGTAAGCCTTCTCTTATACTTTGACATTAGTAAATAGTAATTACTGTGTTTAGAAAAATCATGACACTGGGACAATTACTGCAGAGGATGGTAGATGAAGAAGATTTGCAGTTTCATGAGGAATACATGAATGAGAAAGATCCTAGTATTCTTCATTTTCTATTGGCATCTGGAGATGATGTATGGGACATCTGCACTGACAAAGTCGTTTAGATATTTTAACCTGCTGATATTCACATTGCTCCATTGTTCAATCCATCTATCTTAGGTGTCCAGCAAGCAGCTCCGTGATGATCTGATGACAATGCTCATAGCTGGCCATGAGACCTCTGCAGCAGTCTTGACTTGGACATTTTATCTTCTGTCTAAGGTGTGATACTGCCAATAACTGAAAACCCAGTGCTATAGTAGTATAGCAATGTCACATGATAATGTGTCGTTCATCATTTTTATATTCATCAAGCCATCAATATTGGTACTTATTCTCACTGTGTTATCTATTGCTAACTTGCAGTATCCGAATGTAATGTCCAAGCTCCAAGCTGAGGTAGACTTAACTTTTATGCTCAATGTGGGTTTCCATGGAGGTACACTTCTGAATCGTACAAATGCCAATTAACTTTTCTTTGCTCAATTATCCACAGGCTGATGCTGTTCTAGGAGATGGTTTACCAACACTTGATGATGTGAAGAAACTTAAATATACTACTCGAGTTATTAACGAAGTAAGTACCAAAAACTGTTGCCTTGCCACATAATGAGTTTCGTCGTTGAATGATAACATTACATTTATTGCAGTCTTTGAGACTATATCCACAGCCGCCAGTTTTAATTCGCCGCTCCCTTGAGGATGATATGCTAGGGGAGTACCCGATTGGCAAGTAAGCATTTTCCAGCAGAATTCCATCTGTTAAGTCACTAAAGAAAAGGCTAGCTTAGTCTCTAGTCAAGTGTCTACTCCTTTTGTCACAAAACCACCTTGATTACCATGGGAGTTCTACTCCTTTTGTCTTATTTGGGCTTTTCCACATCTTTTTCCCTTATTTAGATACCGTGTGAGTAACATTAGGGTGTTCCAGCATTTTCCCAGTCTTGTGCAAACTATTTACTCAACATGTTCTGTTTTCTGCTTGTACTTATGCTGTTGCTGGTAGCGAAGTTTGTTTAGTTGTTGCTGTTGGGTATTTGTATGTCTGATACTGTTTATTTATATTTAGCATTTCTATGGGAAGCTAAACTTTTCGTATTTCTGAAAATATATATTGCTCTTCTCTAGGGGAGAAGACATTTTTATATCCATCTGGAACCTTCATCGCTGCCCAAAGCATTGGGATGATGCGGATGTTTTCAATCCAGAAAGGTGGCCTTTGGACGGACCGAATCCAAATGAGACAAACCAAAAATTCAGGTTCCATCCCTATTACTGTAATAAAATGCTTTTTGGTAAACCATGTGTCACTCTAGTTAGTACTCCATCCATTCCTAAATATAAGTCTTTTTAGAGATTCCAATGAGGACTACATACGGATGTATATAGCTATATTTCTTCTTGTTTTAGAAAATGTATTTGGACAGTAGCATGGAATATAGTTAGGTGGATCTTATTGAGGGTGAACATGATGCAGAGATAAATGAGATGAATATTAAAATGCTACTCCAATGAGCAACAGGAAATCACACTTCTGATCAAACGAATCAGCAATTATTTTTCACCTTAAGATTTTACCAAAAGCAAGAAGCCGTCACACTTAACGTCCTCTGTTGCATTTTTTTATGACTGTTGTTCCTTTATGAGTGTCCCAGAAAAGATTCTTCCAGTAAACGTAGGATATTATAAAGAGAAATGTATTAGAAATTGTAACTTTTCATAGATTGGATATTACCTTAATGGGAGATACATTAATGGGGTTATATATATTGTTTAGTGTTACGGGTGATAAATTATAATGCTCAATGGGTACATTCTAAGAGTATGGACTATGTGGTATCTTCAGCTGCGATGAATCTAACAATTTGAAATATTACGGTGGGTTGGTGCAATGGCATATTGGTTGATAAAGAAGTGATGACTGTTGTTCCTTTATGGCATATTGGTGTGATGAATCTAACAAGTATCTACTAACCATATAGTAGATAAAAGTCGTCTTCTAAACATACCATTGAAACTCGAAATTAGTAATAGATAAATAAATATGCAATACAGTTACGTTCTTGTGTTTTTTAGGCTTTTGCTTCTCTGTGTCGCTATGTTCTGTTACATACATGAGCACCATTATAACGTTGTGATCCTAGTTGCCACTGTCAAACTCTTAGAGATCCATTGTGTGATTGTGGTTGCTTTCCTTCTTCAGAATAGTGGTGGCATCTGCTTGCTACACTGTTTAATTAATGCCTAACAAACCTGCTTTAAGTTATAACTCACTTGTATTCATAAAATCTTGCTGAATTTTCAGTTATTTGCCATTTGGTGGCGGGCCAAGGAAATGTGTAGGCGATATGTTTGCTACTTTTGAGGTAATCCATTTTGATTATTTAGGGTTTCAGCTGATAATATTGAAATAGCGTTTTGCCATTTCATGAATTTTGCTGGTAATTAGTAATTTGATTTAGTCGTATTAAGGCCTTCTTTCTTTCGGCTTCTTGGGATATGAGACATTTTTTTTGTGAAAACAAAGATTTGTTGCTATCCCAGCCTATGCGCTACGAGGATGCACTGCTCACAGTCATTTGTTCCTTGACTATTGGGAGAATCACTGACATTCTGCAATTTCTGTGCAGACTGTGGTGGCAACAGCAATGCTTGTCAAGCGATTTGATTTTCATATGGCTCCAGGAGCACCTCCGGTATGTTTCCCACCAGCTTTCTGATTCATCATAGCTGATAAAATATATTTATCATAGCTCTTTTGTAGGTCGAGATGACAACCGGAGCAACGATTCACACAACTAAGGGACTGAACATGACTGTTACTCGGAGGATAAAGCCACCTGTAATTCCAAACTTAGAGATGAAAATCGTTTCCGATTCAGAAGGAAGCACAAGTTCTACTGCGTCAGTGGCTGTTTCTGCTGCTAGTATTGCATCTGGAGAAGGTCAACAAGTAGAGGTGTCGACAAGTCAAGTGTGATTTATCATTTTTGATGCTCAGATTTCTCTGGTATGGGCATTCATTGGCCTTTCCCCCTCCTTTCTCTTGCATTGTCCTACTGTAGTTTTCGTATGGCACACTTCATTTACCTGAAGTGCTCAAAGATGTTGGATGTCCAATAAATAAAGGCACTGTTTTTTCTTCAAAAAAATGAAGTGCTCAAAGGCATATAGTCCTCGGCTGTTGAGTGTCTAGGGCAAAGGAACTTCGTTTGCACTTCTTGTTGTTAATCATGAAATCATATATTTTATTTGTTAAATTATATCGTGCTATACATCTTTCGTGATAAAACTATTGTACTGCTTCTGGAAACCATATGATATATCATCATTGTCCATGAACACACGTGGCTGCACGTAATTATATTTCATGATCAATTTATAGGCATGCCCTTTTTTAAGCATATTGCCTCCATTCCTCTTAAATATTACTCCCTCCGTTCCAAAATAGATGACCCAACTTTGCACTAAAGTTAATACAAAGTAGAGTCATCTATTTTGGAACGGAGGGAGTACAATGAGTTTTTGTTTTTCTTGCCGTGGAATCTGGAAGTCATTGCTCATGGAAACATTTTCGTGTGCAGAAACCAAACAGTACAGTACAGAGCAGAAGCTTCCTGGCGTGCTTCTTTACAAGGAAAAGCTCTCCTAAATGCTCCCAGGCTTATTTTTTGCGATACAGACTGCAAACACTTTTACAGACTATAGGATCTGCCTGCTACTCAAAGTACCGCGGACACACATATTTACAGATCCACAAGTACCGGGCATGGACTCCTGCATCTCTAAAACTTCAGCATGGCCTCCAACGCGCGAAGAACGTCATCGCGGGTAACTATACCTGTTAGCAGTGTTTAGAATATCCCGTTAAGCTTGAAACATACTCCAAACAATAGTCGATGTTAAGGGGATGATAGTAGTATTATATACAAGTCATTCGCTGCTGGTTTTGTCGCGTTTTCTGTTACTCACCTATTACTTGATTGTCCTGGTTTACTATCGGTAATCTGTGGATCTTCTTCCTGAGCATCAGAGCTGCGGCATCTGTTGGCATCACATGTGTGTACTGTTAATTAACTGGAAGCAAATATGGAAAAAAAATTATGAGTGGAAACAACAATTACCGGTCACTGTTTTATCGCATGATAGCGTGATTGCTGGAGATGTCATCACATCTGCAATCTTCGTCTTTGGCTGTTACAACAGATAGCAACTAGATTAGCAAACACAAGATGGTGGTGCTGAGTTAGCAACTTGTATATGTGGGTGTGGTTGTGTTTTCTTTTTCTGTCTGTTTTAGTTCTTCTGTCGGGCCTGAAAGGCGGCAAAGAGTTGTGTGTAAATAAAACAGATAAAGAGAGAAGGGGGAGGAGCTGAGCTGACCCCATGTGAAGCCCTCACGTGATCGCTCTTGACGACGACCCCGACACATCGGCGGGCACTGTCGACAACCGGGAGGCCTGACACGAGCTGGAAGTGGCCTTCAACCTCCACCAGCGCCTGCTCCGCTGTGACCATCAGCACGGGCGTCGACATGGCCTCACGCAGGAGAGGCCCCCGCTGCTGCAACCAGCCAACCGAGTACAAAGTCAAGCAAGGGGTCAAGAAGAAGAAGCATCATCAAGAGAGGAGATGACAGAGACTACAAGATCAGCAGGAAGAAGAAGCATCATCAAGAGAGGAGATGAAAGAGACTACAAGATCAGCAGGAAGAAGAAGCATCAAGAGAGGAGATGAGCAGAGACCACAAGATCAGCAAGAAGAAGAACCTGATCGCCGGCATGGGATGGTTGTCGTTGTTGCTGCTGCTGCTGTGACTGGAGGTATGCGCGGAGGTCGTCGTAGCTGAGGAGGGAGAAGTTCTCGGGCCACTCCCCGGAGATGATGGCATCGGGGTTCTCGTCGAGCCCGAGCCGGAGCCCGCTCCCGTCCATGAACGTGGACGCCCGGCACTCAAAGGTCCCGCCACTGGCTCTACCTCTTCTGGCCTTACTCTTGGCCCCTTTGAACATGGAGCAGCTCTGCAAGGTATTGATGCACGCCATGGATGCTAGCTACTCTTCACTGCTTCCTTGTCTTGTGTTGTGGATGTTGTCTGACTGTGTTCTCTTGCAGATCCCAGCAGGAGGGCTCCATTTATAGCAAATGGAGCTGGAGGTGCACTCACTTGCTCCATGCCTATTGTCTGTCATTGAGCCGAGGTGGATGGGCTTGCTTGCTTGCATGGGAGGGAAGGGCTGGCCCACCAGCGAGTGAGCGACTGGTGCTGCTGAGATCCCACTTTGACTTGATGACTGATGAGTGTGCTGATAGATAAATATCTCTGAATGATCAGTGAGCTCAGTCAAGGTAGGTAGAATCATGGCAGTGAATTCCTTGGGAGAAAGAGTGGCAGAAGCTGGGTGGCCTGGGCCTGGGGTGGTAATTCATGGAGGCTGGGGTGACGGATCTGGATGTGCACCTAACTCACAAGTTGGATCTCAGCGTTTCTTGTCATCGCCCGGAATCTCTGGTCCTCGGATGTGGATTGACGTGGAGCCATGGACACGCGGTGCTTCCCGCCGGAGCGGGGCCTGGCGGCCGGCGTGGCGCACGGGGAGTGGCCGGCGGGATTCCCGTGGGGCCCGGTCACGTGGCGCCGGATAAGGATGGAGGAGTGCCGACCCTTCCCTCCGGTACGGCTGGCGGAGAGCCGGAGGTCGACGTTGCATGCCGTTTTCTTCCGCCAACTCCGGCCAGTGGGTTTGGTTGTCGCCGTGCGTGCCGGGTCTGCTGACCTGTCGGAGCCGGAAGGGACGATGAATGAGCCCACGGTTTCGCGTGGATCAATCTGGGGCGGACAACATGCGAGCGAGGAATAGAGGAACCAGCGCTCCAAAACGGGGCCGGAAGATCATGATGCTGCGCAGAATCTCCCGTTCATGGGCGATGCAGAATCAGCACGAATCTTCTTCGTTCCTGTTGCACTGGTAAAGTGCCCGTGAATTGCAACAGATGCACATCATCAGAGTTATAACTTATATAAACATCCAACTCGCAAAAAAGCCATTTACATCTATCTATATCTGTATCAATATATAAAAAGATCCTAATCTCGGCCATCAAATCATGTCAATCAAACGACCTAGGCTGCTTCAATATCGAGCGTTCAACACGTTTAACATGCATTTAATTTCATAATGACATGTGCATCTGTTGGAATACTCCCTCCGGTCCTTTTTACTCTGCATATTAGGTTTGTCCGAAGTCAATCTCATTCAACTTTGACCAAGTTTATATAAAAAATTACAAACATTCACATAACAACACCAATATCTTTAGATTCATCTTGGAATATATTTTCATATTGTATTTATTAGATATTATAGATGCTAGTAATTTTTAATATAAATTTGGTCAAACTTAGCAAAGTTTGACTTTCGGCAAAACCAATGTGCAGAGTAAAAAGGACCGGAGGGAGTACATATTAAATAATATCCTACTTAATATCGAGTGCTAATTACTTAATATCCGCATGCACTTAATATACTTTTAAATTAACCTGCATTGCACGTACACATTTTTCCTTTTTTTTTGAGAATCAAATGCATTACACGTACACATTGACTAGTAACCACAATCATGGGAAAAATATACATATTTTTTTGTTTTTAATTACTAATAAAAAATTATATTTATATTTACACCTTTTATTATTACAAATATTTTTTAGTACTTTATTTTGTTCCCTGGATAACTACCTTAAATATATAAAGTTTATAAAATCAAAAAGTATAGTGGTCTAGAATACGCTATATTGCACAATAAAATACAAATGTGGTGGTCTAGAATGAGAGCGGTGTTTTATAGGACGGGCTCCACGTAGACCATTTTACAATTTTTTTAGAAATTTCAAAGAATATGTTTTTGTACAAATACATGTACATGTTCTCTAAGTATGTGTAAATCATTAAAATGATATGATTATTTGCATGATACAAAAAAAAGAAAAAATCTAGCCTAAAATACAACAAAGAAAAAGCCCCTTTTAATCTATGTATTTTTCTTTGTTTTTGTACATCACATATGAAGATATATGTTCATGAAATTTTGTACATATATACTTACATTTATTTATTTCTCAGACTTTTTAAGATGTAGAAACTATATTTTCTCTGGAAAAAGAATACCAAGCTCCCTGGAGCCTAGTCACCATATGCACTTTTCACGTCTAGAATAACAAACACTGATAGGACACGATAGGGCTATTAATAAATATAAATATAGGTAATCACATCTTGATTTTTGTACAATTTGCTAAGGCCGGTCACAATGGGAAGGAAATTAGGAGTAACATCACACACTCCAATACAACTTTGCTTATGTGACACATATTTAATAAAGAGAGAGGTGTTTGTGGTAATTAGCTAAGTTACCGGAACATCACACACTCCAAGAAACAATGAGTCTATAACCTAATAAATACATCTTTGCATGGCACTATATAGATGTTCCTACCCACTATGGAGGTAGTAACATAGTCTAGGGAGTATGTAAGTTACTAGCTTATGTTCTTGCCCATTGTGACCAGCCTAATAAAACCTTTTTAATCATTTTTTGCTTCAACATGAAAGCATTTATTTCATTTCTAAAATATTAGCCTCCCTTTGAGCCATTTGATAGGATTTGAAGTAGGACGCCGCTAACTGCCACACGTGTGGCATATACAACATGCGCCCACACACCGTGTGTGGTGTGAGTAGGAGGCAACCCACACGGGCTGTGTGTGGGCTGACATTGGAATTGCCCACACGTGTGGGCGCGGCTACTTTGTGCCACACGCCCAACAAGTACTACTCATCTTCACCCCGTGCGTGTGGCACGAAGCAAAAATGTTCACATGTCCTGACGCAGCTACGTTAGGTACCCCGCGGGATGACTATTTAGTTGCCATCCCGGTTGGCAGATGTAGTTATCCGGGATGACAAGTGTAGTTGTAAAAGCATGACAACTCTATTTGTTTTGGTTAATTATAGTTGCCATGTCTAATTTATGGTAGTTGTCGCGTGTAATCTAACCGTAGTCGCCGTGTGTGATTAACTACTTGCCACATATGGTCAAAAGAGTAGTTGCCATGTGTGTTTACCTAGTTGCCACGTGTGGTCCAACCATAGTTGACATGTATTGTTAATCACAGTTGCCATGTGTGTTTATCTGGTTGCCACGTACGCGCAACTGCAGTTGCCGTGTAGCAAAGAATCACAGTTGCCATGTGTGTGTACCGAGTTGCCACGTTCACGTAACTGCAGTTGCCGTGTAGCAGAGAATCACAGTTGTCGTATATGTGTACCAAGTTGCCATGTTCGCGTAACTGCAGTTGCCGTCCACAACATAGGAGTGTCGTGTGGGCGAAAAGCAGTTCGCCCACACGCGCATGACCTAGGTGGTGGCTGTGTGGGCAGAAACTAGTTCGTCCACACAACGCAGCTGGCAAACAGCGTGGTGCGGACGTGTGGGAAAATTTTCCAACGCCCACACACCAGCCCCATCCTACGTGGCACAAAAAATCAACCTTTTCGTGCCAAGATTCGTGCAAAAGGCACTGGACGACGATCCAGACGTGTGGGCGAGTTGGAGAACGCCCACACGTGTGGGCGTTAGACTTTTCGTTGAAGTATTGTCATCCTGACATTACTCCACATTTAACATGAACACCTTTTTTTCACGTCCGGTCTAAGTCAAAACAATGAACCTATTTGATGAAAATTCAACTACTTAGTTGACATCCATGATGTCGCACCGGGCAATGAAATAGCCATACTTTAGATTGACCAATCTTTCATGGGCATCTCCTTTTACGAACTTGTCGTAGCCTCAACAAGGATCACGCTTGGAGAAAGGAGATGAGGAGGGGAAGGTACATGTGATTCCGCCGCAGTTGGTCTTGGTTAAATTTATGGTTAAAGTTAAAGTATGGAAATAAAGAAAACACTATATTTTGGAACGAATGGAGTACTACATAGTACTTATCTAGCACTAGATACATCCATTTGAGCGACAAGTAATTCCAGACATAACAAGTTCATTCTAAAAAGAACCTAAAAAGCTTCCAGTTGACTAGAACAATTTATTTTAACAAAAGAACCTAAAAAAAAATTGGGCTGATCTAAAACAATTTGGTTCGGCCCTAACAATTCCGGGGGTTTCTCTGGTCGCCATCAGCGCCGCCGCCGACCTCCTCGTCGTCGCCGGCCGTCACGATTCGCCTTACCGCACGCGCGCCCGATCCCTGAAATTCTCGACGGGGACAAACCGAAGTATCCTCCCGTCAATGGAAGCAGCAGCTCCGTCCGCCGCACTGAGGGTCTACGGGCCGAGCAACTTCAGGGACGACGAGCTCGTCTTCAACAGCGGGGAGATAGGGAGGCTACAGTCGGAGCTTCGCGCCAAGATCGAGAGCTGCTACGGGCGGGTGAGGCAGCTCCCCGGGGTCCTCGACGCCGGCTTCTGCTTCGGCCTCCTGGACCCCGTTTCCAACATCGTCGCCGGCGCCTCCATCGCCCGCGCCGCCGTCGAAGCCAAGGAGGAGGAGGAGGAGGAGGAGCGTTCTCTCCCGGGGGCGCGGCTGGGCGAGCCAGATCTGATCGGGGACATGAACCGGCGGTCGTTCCACGGCCTCGTCGACTTCCTGACCGCCCTCTTCCCGCACCTCACCAACGCCATGGCCATCTGGTACCTCAACGAGGCCCGGCTGGATCCCCTCGTCGCCGCCCTCCTCATCGTCAAGCGCCGCGGCATGGAGCGGAGCTTCGGCTTCGCGTCCGACACCACCGCGGCCGCCGTCGAGACTGCCCTCAGATGCGCCGCGGCCTCCGCCCAGCACCCCAATCCCAGCCAGTTCGCGCTAGGGTGGAAGTTGCTTTCGCATTCCGATCTCAACAATGTCGCCGCCGTGCTGCCATCGTCGGCCAACTCCGATTACTCTGACGAGTCCTTTGCCGCTGCCATTGCCATGGTAGATGATGTTCTGCTCAAGAAACAGCCTCAGCCCACCTCAGTTTTAAGCCTGGAGAAATCATGGGAGCTTGCCTCTGCTCGCCTCCGCAACCTCGGTCCAGACCTGTCTCCCATCGTCTTAGAGAAGAAGGTGTTTCTTGAGCGGGCAGCCGTCTGGCGTATGCTCCTCACCACCATCCATGGATACTATCTTCAGGCACTGGCCAGGCTGCCCAAGGACAAGCTGCAGTCTCACTACCACCACAGCTTGCTTCAGGCCGGGCACTGCTACGGCCCGCTGGATCCTGTCGGCAACATCATCCTCAACACCATCTGGTATAGCCGAGCCTACCCTCCAGCGAAGAATGTCGAGATATCAGCGATCAGCACCAGAGGCCTTCTGCGGATCGCTGTCCGGTCCTTATATGGTCTTGTCTCCTTTCTCTGCACCCGGTGTGCCGCGACACACCTCACGCCTGATGAAGCAATTCGACGACTGCAGGCTGTCGCTGCTGATCTCCGACTCGCTGATCCCAACCTCCTCCTTGATGATGATAAGAACGATGATGATATGGTGGTATCTGCCACTGTCGAACAAGCCTACACTGCTGCGGCTGCAGCGGCTCGACACCCTGAGCCTCATCACCAGGTAGAGCTTCTCAGGCCATGTAATTCAGTGTTGCGGATGGCCTCCGACCGTCTCGAAGGTGATGCCATGCTCTCCCATGAGGATGCTGAGCACCTCTCTGAATCCTTGATGTATTCCTGCATGTTATTATCAGAACACCAGCAGCAGCCAGAAACAAAGATCAAGGTTCTAGACCGGTGGGCACACATAAGGGTGCAACATCGGATTAACAAGTTCTGGGACCAGCATGCTAGGCTCGTCGGAATGGCGAAATCTGCAATGGACTCATACAGCAATGAACTTGGGGTTGGTTTCCTTCTCTTTAAGACTTTGCTCTCTCTGCAAAACAATCCATGTTTCCAGTTAACCTTTCTTTTGTGTCTTACTGATGATTCAAGGTACCCAGTTACAAGCTCCATGTTATCTGCGGTGCCAATGAGTATGTTGATGGTCCTGTGTGCACAAGGCCTGGCAAAGGCTACTACCGTTGCTCCCACATCAACTTCCTTGCTGCCCAATCTGCTGCTACACCTCCGACGCTCTTCTTTGCTGAATGTGCCAATGATGGCACAGAGGTACGCTTGTGCTGCCCTGTGCGTGTGCTGCCTCCAGGCACTGGTATGTCGCTGTTTTGCCCTTGCTATTAATGTTCTCCACCAATCAGATATATAGTTCCCTTTCTTGTATCAAGCTGATAAGTTAGGCAGGTACGTACACTACGAGTAATGATTCATTCTGCGCCAGAGGCGGGAGAATCGTCCTGACAGATAACTGAACACAATGGATAATTACTGAAGTGAGTAGTTAGAAGTTGAAAAAAATCAAGAAAATGCCAAAAGGCAAGATGTCTAACCAAAAATAGTACCAACTCTGTTTCCACATGCCGGAGCCTCTGGAGGTTCAAAACAGAGCAAAGCAAATAATGGAATAACAGACGCTCAGTTCAGCGGTCAAGTTCAGTAATGGTAGATAATTGTAAAAGGTGAAAACCAAGCTTTAGCACCCGAGCTCTTGCCCTGGTCCTATTTTTGACGGAAGAAAATAATCATGTTCATACATATTCATACTAGGTGATCCCATTGGGATCTGTAAGACAATGCCAGCTGAAAAATCTGAAGTATCCTTTCTTTCTGAAGACAGACTATCACTACTGCACCTTATGTGAACTTTGTTTCTAGAAGATCAATTTCTAGAAGAAAGCCACCGTCAAGCACTGTATTATGTACACACCATAGGTATTATAAGTCGTCATCCCTATAAAGTACTGTTATGTGTTGTGTGACACCACATGTTTTAGCTCATCCTCTGTACAGCATGAGGTTTCCGATTCAGTCACCAAGCAGCATAGGCTTCTTTATAAGATACCACCTTCAGAATACACCTTTAACAAGGTGTTCAATGAACTCTGCAAGTGTAAGTATATTTCAGTCTTATAGGACGACAATATTAGCAGCTCTATCATCATCCAATGAAAGCTGCTACCCACTCCCCAACCATCTATGCCGCTCACGGCTCGCCCCTTGCTCCCTGAGCGCCATGAATTATAAAGATTTTCTGACACAAACAGTGTAGAAAGGCTCTCTGTATAGGTAAATTTTTGTTCACTCTACCATCCAAAACTAACTATAAATAACATGATGTCTCTGTATGTTTGCATGGCAGAACAAGTCCGTTGCATGTACTGTGAGTACCATGGGTGTAGGATTGTACACCCAACAAGGGAGAGTTTCCGTGGGCGCGACATTGAGTTTGAGAAGATGCTGTGTGGAGTGTATTCACAGTCATTCACCAACAATGGGATCATCGCACACAGCCGCGAGGTAAGTGGCTGTGTTGGTGCTGTGGTTGACGACTGCATCTACGACGTCTACCGACTTGACGATACACCTATAAAGGCAGAGGACTTTGTACGCATGTCAGATGCTAATGTGGTGTTTGACTGATTGAAGAGCTCGTGCCATTTGCCAATGCAAGCAGCAAAGGTGAGCTGCATGCATGATGATGCCAGCCTTTGTATTTGCTTGCTAGCTAGAGAGACAGAGAAAATTAACCACCACTTCAGTTAGTGCCATGCGAAATGCTGCTTGCGGTTCATCAAGGGATGCCTTGTGTTGTTTTTGTATCAGGTTCCCGCTTCTTTGCTGAGATATTTTTTGTAGATGTATGGTTTCTGCATGCCAAAGTTTTTGACCTGTTGGTGTAATCAGAATAGATTGGTCCAAGAAAGTTGCATGGGTCCTTCTTTATACTATGATACGCACACCCGTGCGTATTCGAGAAAAGAAAAGATGCGTGGGTCTTTTGCTGTCATGCAAAAATTACTCACTGGCTATATACTGATATACTTCCTCCGTAACTTAATATATGACTTTTTTTGACACTGTCATACTGTAAAAAAACGTCGTGTATTAAATTATGGAGGGAGTACGTGCTTTATGTTCATCTGCAGTGTTACTATGCAGTCTAATTCGAGTGTCGGGGAGAAGTTGCAATTTCTTGTCAAGGTAAAGAAACAAAAAGCAGAGAAAGTTCATGTCTCAAGTTTGGTGTCTAGCTGGTGCGCTCGCTTAAGCTCTTGTGAGCCAGAAGACCTATTAGGCAAGTCCTTGCGAAATAATTTTGATAGAGAGAAAAAGTGGCACGCCGCCGTCTTTAGAGAAGAGAAGCATGAGCGGGTGACCTGATCTTTACAGCGTAGGATTGATGAATGAAGGGATAATTGTCGCTCCCTCTTCATGGTGTAGGATCGATGAATGGAGGGATAACTATCGCCCCCTCTTCACGACGTAGGATCCAGTGGCGGAGCTATG